CAACTATGAAAACACCGGAACACTGAAGAAAAAAACGATAGTTTCCATTTCCCTCCATGAATTACTGCAGGAGACAGAATAGATTGAACTTAAAGGTACAAAAAGAGACTGTACACCTGGGAGAAGCCCAGTCGCCAAGAACGACGAAAATTTAACTAAAAACTAAATGGGTCCTATGTGGCTTATGTGCGAGTTGTTATACTTGCTTCCAATAATAGGTATAGCAAAAACACCTAAACGTACGGAAATTTATTTTAGCCTAAGGTCGATTTTTATTTACATTGCTCTCGTTGCTAACTATGTCACAGGCAGGTATCACAATGTGTTCTTCATCTTCTTCCTGCTGTTTACAATGCTTCACAGGCTGCGTATGTTCTTTTCTATTCTAATCACCATTAAAAGCTGTCATCTCATCACTAACTACCTTTTCTTTGAAATCGTTAATCACGTACGTTATGCATATTTCGTTACAGTTCCATATTCCTATTAGTCACCTTACTTATATTTTATAAGAAACTTCTTAAAATTATGTGTGAGAACCGTGCAAGTTCTTTCTGTAGTGGCCTTTTAAGGAAAGAACCGCAACAGTTTGAGCGGACCCGTTCTGAAAGCAGTACGCATGTGTCGGTTTACAGTCAGCTCAATTAACAGATGAGGCTGAGTGATTCGACGAACAATACCAACTTAATCTGGTTTTTCCATTAAAGATTTTTAATATTAAACTGTGGATTTATTTATTTACTTTTATTAACTTTGATTACTGACTGCCTCGCTGGTCACAAGTGCGACGACTAAGGGGTCTTGGGTTCGATTCCCAGGTCAGGCAAAGTGTTACTGGGCTTTTCGTAAAATTCCCAGTAGTAGCACGAAGCCTAGAATTGCACCCGGTATATGGCAATAGGCTCACCCCCTATTATATGGGACACATAATATAAATAGTGAAAAGTGGGTTTTACATTGTTCACTTCAGTGGCATTAAGTGCCGTAATGTGCACCTCTACCTACTCCTTCGGAATAAAAGGCGTGATGTTGTGTGTAATTTAGATTAATAACTCAAGAGTTCGTTTATGTTAGTAAAGACTATTGTAATGGAAGACATGCTTTATTACACTCGTAATTCGGACTCAATTCCTTTACCTACACTTTCTTATAATTCTGAATAGTTTAGGTACATACCTACTGATACCTGCTTCCCAATTTTGCTCAAGTATGCGTAATCGAATAAAACGTATCAAGTCATAACGTACTCGGCTTGCACTCAGCGATGATGTCAGTCTTACATCATCAAACAATTGAATAACTTCATAAACAGACACATGAAGTTATACTAAACTGTCAACATTATTCACTACATATGCAACCTTATTTCAAAGTGTTAAAGATGATTGTCGAGGGAATTTGAGTAGAGAGGGTAGTGTGATGTGCGACTACATCTGTCCCCAACAAAATTGTTGTGATTTCATTCCTGTTTATAATTGGAAGTAAACAATCCTTTGAAGTTATTTTTTTTATTATAAGCCTTTTGTGATTGGGATTCTAATATTGTTATTGGCATCAGCTGCATAATTTTAATTATTAGAGTATGTTTAATAATTTTCCTGTATACAGTAATGTTATTTGTTTAGTCCCACGTAAAAGGGGACTAACCTATTAGTACAATGAAAATCCAGATTCACTATTACTTAATCTGGTTTTTCCATTAAAGATCTTAAAACTGGGTTAAAAATTGAATACTGTTTATTTCTTAAACGGCTAGGCACTAGATAGTCTTTAATTTTCAACCCAAAAGGAGGAGCAAGTAGTATCACCTCCTTGTCACCTCTTATGGTGCCCATGTTGTAGATGAGCTACTGACTATTGCCATACTCCCACAGACAATTCATGACAAGAATTTAAAGACGACAACACTGCAATAGAAATCTAGACCCTTTACACAAGAGTCGTTCTTGTGATCTATCTACCTGATGTATCTACCTGTCATCTACAATGAACGAATGAATTTGAATTTGATTATTTAACTAACGAGGCAATCCATAAAATACTTTAAATTCCCATAAAACCTTTTTTGCCAACCTCTCGCACTATACATACTATCAACCGAGGCCGAGGCCAATTATTAAACAGTATGGCCATAGCGTTCATCATTAAAATGCAAACGGATCGCAGAAATGTACTGAAATTCTTATAACAAAATTACACCACCACCTAATAATTATCCCCTGACTGGCTGTCATATGACTTTTTAATTATGCAGCATAATAATGATACTGCTGCAATTATCTTATTAATATTTCGGCTACAGATATACCTTCATGAGTATTAATTGAGTATATTGTTACTTGATATTCTGTTTATTCTCGTTGTGCAATTACGGGATCCGTGTAGTATTATTGCGAGGCTTAAAAGCCTACATCTCCTTTAAATTGTATGCATGGCATGTTGGTTGTGTAATCGCAAAAGTCTTTTCTTGGGGATGTCTACGTCATAACATTTTTTTTTATACTACGACGGTGGCAAAAATGCACACGACACACTTGGGGCATTACATGCGTCTTGCCAACCTTTAAGAAACCTATTCACTCCCCTCTTGAAGAACCCCATGTTGTAGCCCATTGTTAACATCAACCTGCAGGCCGAATTTCAACCCGATCGGGTTAAAACTGACAAAAACTGGGCTGTTTGTAACAGCACAGAGTCTGACATTGTACCTGGTTTATGCTCACACTGTATTATATGGAACTCGTATAACATAGCTGGTTTAAAGTGGATATTACATTCGTTTATATTAAAACTTTCCTGAGACATACTAATTAATTATTATGTTTTCGGCTTACTCCCGTAACTGTTTGACGTGGAACTCGACTAGGTTCCAGCCATGCTAGAGCATTCATGAGCATCATTCCACGACCCGCGACGCGGTGACTGTCGCGCTGCTACTGAGCAGTACTCACTAGCATGGCTAGAACCTAGTCGAGTTCCTCGTCAAACATTTACGTGAGTAAGCCGAAAACATAATAATTAATATTACATTCTATATATGCAAATTGTACACCTACGTCTCGGTATTATTTTTTGCCAACATCAAACTGTTTGACATAAAGTGCCATTCTTCACCCAGAATTACCTACATGCCACTACAGTCTAAATTCTATAACACGCCAGATGATACAACATGCCATAATGCGGCTCCGGTCATCAACCCCATTGATAATGACGGCTTATCTCAATATCTACATGGTACAGGGTGATTCACTCGTCAACTGATGGTCTGATACTGATCTGCTTCACTTTACGCATTCATAAATATGTATGGAAGCTGGGAGCTTCCGTTCGTGGGTATGACAAATGACTCACGGACTAGTCCGGTTTGGAGTTACTGTCAAGGGTTTGTCGTCAGGTAATAATCAGAGGTAGATTCTATAGGTACACAGAGATGTTGACTAATATTATGAATCTTAAAGTATATTTTATGGTAAGCTCTTTACGTTTTAATCTCAAAACATACATATATTGCTGAAGTCATGCATTTAGTTAGGAGAACGGAGGACATAGGGATTTCGGTTGTTCGTCCTGCTTTAATTGAAAACATAACATAACATCACGCTCCAGGACTCGAACCCAAAACCCTTTTCCCGGTAGTCGCACTTGCGACTAATTGGCCAACGAAGCAGTCCAAATGTAATGTAATGTGTGTAGTGTAAGTATGACCTTAGCAAAATTAAAATTTTATCTATCTGTCTCTTTATGTTAGTCGGCTCTTATGTAAGGCGCGGGAAAAGTAAAACATATTACTTTATGGTACCACATTACCACATTTCTCGCACCGCGCCGCTCGCACTAGGATTCTAACATAAATATTTTCACGTAAAACTCTCAACGAAGTCATAAAACGAAAAACATTAATACAAACGTTATCTCAACTGGATGGCGATGTGTAACGGACCTATAAAGCTGTGGTAAAAAATCCAGTGAATTTGGAACAGAGCTAGATCCATTAGTCATTCGGAGAACGAACGAAATCCCGCGCGGGACGGGGCCTTGCAAAACTGCCAGTTTTGTACGGGATGTACTTCTTGTGGGGACGATCAATTTCGGTCGAGGACTTTTTGCGGGATCTTGTTTGTCGGTATTAGATAAACATTGGTTTGCAGTGAAATTAAAAATATTAAATTACTCACGTGAATATATCGAGAAAAGCTCTACTAGTTTTGAATCACACACACTCTGTGGTTTTAGTAACTCGGTAACTCGCGATTTTAGTTAATTTAGTATGTCTATATAGTGATAGTTATACATCTATATCTATATCTATACTAATATTATAAAGAGGAAAGATTTGTATTTTTGTATGTTTGTAATGAATAAACTCAAAAACTACTGAACCGATTGCAATAATTTTTTCACCATTCGAAAGCTGCATTATTCAGAAGTAACATAGGCAGTAACATATAATATCACGCTAGGTCCTATAGTTGTGGAGCAGTAACCAAAAATGTTTTAAAAACGGGGGAAAAGTATCGTTTCTGAGGCCTTCCGTGGCGTGCGCTGAGCATATAGTTAAAGTTATACAAAAATGTTCTATAGATGAATTGTTTATCTTAACATTATTTTTAAAAAAGTCCGCGAGAGCATATGTCTACCTTTTATAGTTTACCCATAACAATCGTTTTAATGAATGGTTCAATCCTTATAAAAGTTTGCTCTAGATAACTTTTGAATTGTTCAATCGGTTACCTTAAGACGCGACATCGACAACGGAGGGCAGGTCGCTAAAAAAAACTGAGAATAAATATAAATAAAACGTAAAACTATGTAAAAAATCTTAAGTCCCCCCGTGCGAAGCCGGGACGGGCCGCTAGTGTTAAATATAGATAGGTTTTTATGATTTGATATTTTTTATAATAAAACGAATGAAAATGTTTTTTAACGTTTTATTGGTTTAAAGACAAGAAACTTAAGTTTAAGCTGTGCACTTCTCTAAAGCTACAGTGTGGGTACACGTATTACATTGTTCAGAACAATTCTTTGCTCTGGGACCTTTAATATTACTCATTCTGACTTATGGAGGCGAACCATACAAAGTTTGCAACAAAGCGAAGTAAGACCAGGCAGTGCTCAGGATCTGCGAAAAATAATAAAATATAACTTCCACTTTTAGATCAATAGATATCTATTGCGAAAGGAGAATTACGTACCGTCATAAAAGACTTAAGATTAACTTCAGAAAAATCCCAAGCTGTCAGTTTGCAAGGAGTTTGTGATCTGAAAACATTAAAAGTACAAGGTAAATAATGAATTTTTATACTATTGTGAACACAGTTTTTATTCCAATGTCTGCGCATGTGCACAAAAATTATTTATATGTACTACCTTGTTTGCACCAAAAGTAAGTCCTTTCCAAGAGATGTGCCGGCTAAGTACCAACGACAATTGTAAACAGCGTCACTTACTTTCACGCTCTGGAAAAGTAAAATCATAGTTAAAGCGTCAAGCAGTGCGCCAGCGGACTTCTTGGACTGAATTATATTTGGAAACACAACAAGATAGTTCATTCACACATATATACCAAAATATTTACCGAAGTTAACAAAAGATCCCCAAAGAAACACAGAAAGAATATCTGCAGTGAACTCAAAAATAGAAACTCACAAATGTCATCACATACACAAAGTCACTGCCTGCCTGAAAAGAAAAAAAATTGTAGTACTATTCGATTATAATATTATGTTAATATTATGTTGCACAAGATGTACAATCGCTTTACTATTTAAAATTTGTATTTAGCATGCATCTAAAATTGACAATATTTTTTCTAGTTACCAAAACATTGAATCCTGTCAAACAGATGAGTGCGGAGCTGGAAACAAAGTTCAACAGTGTCGATCTCGTGTATATCATCTCCAGAAGCTTCACTGAGCTGCAATGTAAGTACTTTCATATTTATTTGCATTACACCTATTTCATTATACTGTATTGTAATGTTAAGAACGTTACATAAATAAGCACTTACACTTTCATTACTCAATCGGTCATACACACTACTAGATTTCGAGTTGCCTTATCATACTGTACATGAAAAAATCTTTCTTGAATATTCTACCTTATTAAGTCCTGATGCCATTTGATCAAATCAACAAATTCAGCTCTAACTTCTTCAACGTTGACTAAACGGCCACAAGTCTCATCATCAGGAATTAAATTTTCGATATTATATTTCAAAGTTGGAACTGCACGCTTATGTTTGACAGAATATGTAGAAGAGATAGTCTGCTGCACCGAGACCCACTATAACTACTACTTCTGTAAAGCGAGAAAAGGTAGAAGAAAATGAACGGAAATAATATTCTCAAAAACGTTAGATTACTGGTAATCTATTTAGAATTATGCGTAGCGTTGATTAATTAAGTAGAAGTAATGGAGAAATAACAGAAACAGGATAATTTGAACTTCATCTTTTAATACACTTGCTTTTCATTTTTTTATGCTTACCGGACCAAATTTGGTGAAGATACACCCAAGGCCAAATTTTAGTTGAAAAGCGTCGAAAGGATAAATGATCAGAAACGGTAATTGCAGATCAACCTCATTAGTAGTCACATATATGAAGATCGTTAATGTCACAGGACCTATAGCAAAAGCCACGATCAACCCGCAGAAGAAAACATTCAGAAAAGAGATGAGGTTTGTGAGAAATTTGTGCTCATGCACCATAATGGCATCCTTATCCTTATGCCTAGGACGAGACCTTTCATTCATCTCTAATTCTCTCAACGTTTCAAGGAGTTTGTCGACAGTATCTTCGTTAAGAAATAGGAAGAAACATTTGAAGTTCGCAAGGAAACTCAGTGTGATGCAGGGTGATACGTATGTCAGTTCAGTGAAGCTCTTTTTGTTGGCGATCCCAGAAATGAACCAGACCACTGCCCCACCCAGGTCCATGTTCAACCAGAAAAAGTTTATAATGTAAATTGCACGGCTTTTTATAGTATCCATCCGCGTTTTCGGAGTAGATTTTACATTTGTTCCTGTGGTTCGCAACCATATTTCAATCTTTTTTATAGTTTTATTAATTAACAGAGGTTCTTCTTCCATTTTGGATGACTTTTTTTTCTGCAACGTTTGCCTTTCTTTAATGCTGCAGAAAGACTGTGCGATGAAACTTCGATTAAATGAAAATTTCGTTTCCCTAAGAAAAAATACTGCTACAATAGTAGATCTACGAAGCGAAGAGATGTGAGGTGGTATTTTAATACAAAGTATTGTTAGTTATAGTGGATTCTTACTGGGCTGGTAATATAGTCTGTAAAATAACTTGTGTGCCTACCATACGCAACACCATGCTCATCTATTTCAAAAATAACTGAGGCAAGTAACGTTGTAGTACTAGGAACATACATAAAATAATAATTTTAACAAACAGTTTTCCTAAATATTGGATGAGCGTAAAAAAAATAATATTTATTGTACACTCAGTTCATAAATATAACCCATGTTTGACAATTATTAAAATGTTTTGATGTTAACACGATATGTCACTTATGTACGACATAACTATTAGTAATTTATTGCCCACGTTAATCTGCCATATATTTTAGTTTTTCAAGAAACACGAAAATCGTTTCGGCACTTCCGATGAAACATGACATCATTTATATTGTACAAAAATATAATATTTTATTTAAAAATCTTCACAAAATACACTGTCTAAAAGATTTCGCACACAATGACGGCCGTGTAAATGGCAATTAGAGTTGAAAGAAAAAAACTACGAGACAATTATCAATGACAGTCAAAAGACAGGCGAGGTCGAAGCGAAATTATTTTCCAAGACACTTTGTTGCGATTAATTGTTTTGTCGCGATTAATTTTGCATTTTCAATGTCAACCGTTTAAAAACACGCGCGAATAAATTATGAGTAATTAAAATTTTATTCTCACCATTTAATAAAAAAAATAATTAATAGATTTTTACTTAGTATGAAAACAAAAAACAAGTGAAAAAATTCAAGAAAATATCTCAGACACATTTCAAATCACCCAAGCAAACCTCTGAGCTGCAATTGATCATCCCTCGCACCCCTGTACCACTTGTTGCTGTGTTTCTGTGAGAGTCTGTATCAATACAAGGATGGTGTCAATGTGTGCGTGTATTGTGCTAAGGTTGTGTGTCTCTTGTGCTGTCAAACGATACTGTGCAACGTTCAGTCTCTTGTCTCGTCCCGTTTCAGGCTATTGTTGGTTTATCTGAAGTTTCATGTCAGTCAAGAACCACGGCGTTCTTTGGAGTATTTTTTATGATCTAAGTATTATTCATTGCTATCGTAAGCCCCGATTAAAGGACAGAGACTAAACATTAAACACAGGTTTTTCTGATGAACCTGATTGTTTTTAAGGAGGCGCATAATTGAACAGTTAACTTCCACGAGGTGTTGATAATGATGACTATTAAATTGACATTTTTGTCCACTATAATCAATTTCCTTTTGACGTCATTGGCAACCTTATACTGTTTCCAAGCAATTATATGTGATCAAATCATCTATCTATCTATATAAATATAATAAAATTGTAGAAAAGTGCTGTCTGTACATTGAAAATAAAAATAAAAAAATAGTAGGGGTTATTGTTATGTCGATGTCGAACCCAAAAATGTAATTAAATTTTTTTTTGTCTGTTTGTCTGTTCACGCTAATCTCAGAAACGGCTGATCCGAGTTGGATGCGGTTTTCACGAATATATTGTGGTATGCTTCAGTTATTAGTGTTTGTTTCATGTCAATCGGTTCATAAATAAAAAAGTCATGTCAAATTAAAGAATCACGTCGTGAGTATATATTTAAAAAAAAACGCTGCTCATAGTCACTATTCCACGCGAACGAAGTCGCGGGCACAGCTAGTCAAATATAATATCTAATCTGATCAATCTTTAAGATGTTATCTGTTAAAAATAATGATAATCACCAAATGTCTTGTCCATTCAAAAATCCAAAGTTTATTATCTCTATCAATGATAAGACAACCTTCCTACCATGTGCAAAATAAGTCTTAATTTTAATTAACTCGTCGAGTACCGGTTTTATAGACACAATTAAAGAACAATAGGTCGCGGTCACCGGTGACCGCTTGGTGTTTGACAGTTTAATTAAAATTTTGTATTAAAAAAATATCATTGTCTTCAATTCTGCGACTACGAATTAAAACCTTTTAGGTAAAGGTGTGTGTCTTTGTGATTTAAATGTAAAAATAATATTGAAATAAATAATATATTTTACTATCGTAAGAAATCAGATGACCGCCAACGCGTCCTTGTAAATTCTCAACACTTGACTGGAACCATCAGATGATCAGTCTGCGCTTTAGACGACTTAGGCACCCATTTCAATCCGGTCCATATATACCAAGGATATCCGACTACTTTCGGCATCAACCGGAGTCCTTTATCATGACCAGACTGAACGACTGACATAAACCGCATGAACGTTAGTTATCTAACAAAATTATTATTTAAGAATTCTGTTTCATTGCCTGCCTTGTTGGCCCAGTGGTAAGGCCCATACGAAGTATATAAATATGCATAAGGCGGAGTTTATACCGCTGGCCGGTCTGTTTCGTTGATCGAGTGGTCGCAAAAGCGACTGCTAGACAAGGGGTCTCGGGTTCGATTTCCGAGCCGGGCAAAGTATTAGTGGGTTTTTTTAATTCTCATTAATAGCACGGAATCTAGAATTGTGCCTGGTATATTGCTCACCCCTTATTACACGGGAATCATGTCATAAATAGTGAAAAGTGGGTGTTACATTGTACAGGGGACACTTCGGGGAAAAAAGGCGTGATGCTATGTTTCATTGTCAGCTTTAGGGAAGATAGATTTAAACAAATATAAGGAAAATCAATAGTTCATGCATAGCTCGAGGTTGCAGGTAAAAAATCCCGTGTGAATTCGTAGCAAATTTTCCTTGTTACATAACATTTAGAGATCTAATGTTATAAGGTCTGACTCAATCGATCTGAGATTTTGACGTGACAACGTCTTATAAATTGGTTTGCCGGGTGACATTTCAAGAAACTGCGTTACGCTTCGCTCACGTTATGCGCTCACAATGAGAGCGAGTGAGAGGCACGCGTCCCTTCCACTCGGGCATGGTTAGCCCGCCTAAGAGCGAAAGAGACAGACATAATATTTTACCACTCAAAGTCGTTGTCACGTAAAACTTTCGCCCGTATACCAACTTTACAATTTTTTGCTTAACTTTTCCGCTTGTCCTTGTCTGGTTAGAATTGCTATTGTTATATGCAGAAATTAAAAATGTAAACAGATAGCCGAAGATTATGGAATAACCCGGTAAACCAAACCGGATCACCTGAGGGTAAGCAATCGACATCGCACATGGACACCTGAAACACCAAGGCGTTACATTACAAGTGCGTTCCCGGCCTTTTCTGAATTGGGAATTTGAGGATTATGGATGATTCGGAGATTGGAAAGACGGGGGGGAGGGGGTAACCTCATTCACACGACGAAACACAACGCAAGCGTTATTTCACGTTGATTTTCTATGTGCTTAAGTTGGAATCGTGATATTGCAATTCATTATCATTGTACAATTCAAATAATGTACATCAATGATGTGTCCATTAAAAACACAACTTAAGAAAAGTGACTTCGATACTCGCCACCTTTTAAATTCACTCGAAAAAAATGAAAAGTGACTGAGTTTTATCTTCGCACCTCGACACCAAACGTGAAAGAGAAATATTTCCCTTTAAAACGCCAGATAAAACCTGTAAAAAATATAAAACAAGATAAATAAATTCACTTTGCGGATTTTATTTCGAAACTGTGCAGGCAACAATGTGAGATAACTTCACTTCGACCGGCAAATACGAACTTTTGTGTCGTTTTCGTACAAACGCCGAGTGAATGATTAATGTTGGCAATGCATTCGTTCACCGTTCTTATTTTTTTCGTTCGTGCAACAGGTCGCCCGCGAGATTTTCGTTCATTTCGTAAACGTTTAATCTTTTCGTTTATTGAGAGCTGTGCGGTTAAAATTTTGTTCCATTTTCTTTAAGTGACTTGTTGTTTGTTTGTGTTTTATTATTGTTTTACAATGCAAAACTATGAATATCAACAATCTGAGGAAAGTTTCTTCAATTGATGTCGTAACAGTCAATAGATGTATAGAATACAGAGTTTATACATACTAAATTAATTATTATGTTTTTCGGCTTACGTCGTTAATTGACGAGCAACTCGCCATACCAGAAGCTCATACTCTTGAGCAGCATTCCGCGACCCGCGACGTGCCGACTGTCGCGCTGCTTCTTTGCATCTAACTAACATCAACAACAATATCAACAACCAATATAATCTGTAATAGACCTAAAATCAAATCAAAAAAGTACATTAGCCCTAGCAGGCATATTTTTAATCATAAAATATATAGGCTACATAGTTTACATAGCCGAAAACACTAAAATCTCGTAACACTCCCCTAGCTACAGCGTAGCCCGTAGCACCCACCACAAGTTACAAGAACACCATGTTCTTTGTTCATTCATTACATTCGCATAACGCTACGAATGCTACGTCTCAGTGCTACGAGTTTCTCACGAGACTTCGCCGTTTTCAAAATAGTTCACATACCATCAAAGTATGGCGACAGAACACCATAGTTTTTATGTAACACGACATCTGTTGAGTGTTGAGAAAATAAGGTTTTAACGAAACTTAGTTTATGGGAAACCAGCGCGAACATCAAACGGGATCATGTCACAGCTTGTTTTTTTTATGTCACCAACGTTAACAAAATGTGTAGACGTCAAAGCGAGTAAAATTGTATGTGATGTATATATATTAGTAGCATATCGATAGAATGATTATAATGAAAGGGTTTCTCATAAAGAAAGTTTTGGCTTGCTTTTATTGAGGTTGGTTAAAAACGTATACGATCTAATTTAATTCTCATTGAGATTACTAAATTCGTGAATAAAAACTATGGAAACAAACGGAGTGATCCACACTTACTTCTCAAACAGTTGTATGACAAAATAGTTTACCCTTTTCTTAGCTACATAGTTTGTACTGTTACAGATTCATTTAGTTAATTAAGACCCTAGATCCAAATGCGACACAATCCATTCTTAGTTGCATCTTATGCAAAGGTAAACTGTTCTTCGGGATGGCGGACTTTATTATAACAGTTGACGTCTCGCAAATGATAATGACGATGATATACGGCGATCAAAAC